CTGTCTGGACCAAACACACGTCGCTGTTGCCAGACAAGTGTTGCATGATATGTGGGGATAAACTTTGATTTCATAGTTTTCCTGGGCTCCAACCCTGAAAGGAAGCCTTCTTGCGAAAGGTTACAATTCGTATGGAGCAGGCAAAGGGCACAGATCTTGATGTCCATTTCGTCTTTGCCACCGAAACAGCGATGTCGGAACCACCTTTGAACATGTCCAAGTTTCTGGGATAGCAAAAAGTACGGCCATAATGTTAACCCCTCGAATCTGATATGTTCCCTTACAATTCGTTAGGAAATGTTGGGCACAATGGCCTGGCCTAAGGCAAGCGATTCAGAACTGCATTGCTGAAGCTAAAGCAGACCCACAAAACAAAATCAGGACATGCTGTGGGTCATGCATGTCACCATGATAGAATGTTGCCGCCGCTCAGGGTCCTTGTGCACGATTGCTGCTTTCGCTGCGCACAGGACCTCCAGGTACGATGATGAGCCGCGCTACTATGTGGAGACAGGGGTGGATGGGAAAACCAGGACGACTGACCCCGGGATGAAACTTCTCAAGAACTTGGAGATTTCCGAGAACAAAAACCAAATTTGGATTATCAGTGCTACTTTTTGAAAACCCACAGCCCACGCAAAGAGATGCAACAATAACTCCAACTGCAGTCACATCTGGATTGATGTGTTGGAAGGACCAGTGCCAAGAGCAGCTATGTTGAAGAGACAGAAACCTCCGGGGCATCTGCCAGCTTTGCCATGCAGATGGATACTGCAGTGGTGTTGACACAGCCTGAAGGACACTAAGTCAAATTATGATATAACATGATATAACCATACATGTTAGTTTCTTTGGTTGCTTTTTCTCCATGGACCGGGCTTGGGCACACCACTCCGCAATAGTCGATATGATGCTCTATACCCCCATGTTAAGGAGAAGCGAAGAAAGCCCAAGATCAAATACAAGCACGCAAGCAGAGTGAGGAGACGGCCAAGATACTGAAGAAACTTGGAATGCCGGACGTTCACCAAACGGACCGCCCTTCAGATCTTTTGAACAAAGCCTCTGCTGGTATCTCGAAACGGTTGGTGAAGTTGAGTGACATCAAGACTTCCCTTGGTGGACCCCCCGCAAACGAGTTCATCACGAAGCCATTGCCTCAAACCAAACTACTGAAATCAATTTGTGGAACACATGTGATCATTTTTGGGGGGGCAACCCCCAGAAAAGCTCTTTAGGTTGGGTGACAAGCTCAATGATGTCTATGGCCAGCTGGACAAAGTCATGGAAGCGACCAGCCAACTTCAATGCGAAGTTGCTGTTGAGGGGACTTCTGAGACGCCACTCAGTTAAAGCAGTTTGTTGAAACTTTAGCCGTCCACACCCAGAACCCATGGCCTTGACATTCCCAGGCTGGAGGAGAGGGCGGCCAGCCTCTTAAAAGAGGCCAAAGGATTGTATCTCAGCTCAACGTGATTTTTCGTAATTCAGGGCCAAGGAGGAGGAGAGAGAGAGAGCGAGGAGAGAGAGGAGGAGAGTAGAGTGAGAGAGAGGCAGAGAGAGGATAGCTTAGAGAGAGAGAGAGGAGAGAGAGGAGAGAGAGAGCGAGAGAGAGAGTAGCGGAGAGAGCTAGAGAGAGAGGAGCGCGAGAGGGGCGAGATGAGGAGAGAGAGGAGAGAGAGAGAGATGGGAGAGAGAGGCGAGAGCGTCTTTCGCTCTTTCTATCTCGATCTCTATTATCTATTATATATCCTTAGAGCTCGAGCGCTCTCTAATCTTCTCTCTCTCTCTCTCTCTCTTTTCTCCCTGTGGCACTCAGCAGCTGTGGCAAGGTTTATCCAGAGCTTTGATTTGGAGAACCGCATCAGGACAGCACGGTCGAACCTTTTGATACTTCATAATTTTCAAGCTAAATTTGAAAACAATATTGGCTCAACATACAAAACCTTGCACGCTTTGCAGGAGCGTGCGGCCCACGGCAAAGGCCAAGAGCGCGCCTCCACTTCTTGTGAAGGCCCAGGCCAAAGGTGTGCCGAAGGCCTCGGCGAAAGCCAAGGCTGACGCAAAGGCTGACCCCAAGAAACGTTCCGCCAAGAATGATGACACTCCCACGCCCCACCCTAAACGTCCTAAAAAGTAGATGGACTGATGGGTGGCTGTAGAGCTCTTTTGATTTGGCCTACACACGTCAGTTGGCCATGGAAATGCCTCGGGATTTTGATCTGCGCCCACGGAAAGATTTGAAAAGCGAAGGATTGTTTTTGTTTGGATTTGGCATCTTGGAGCATTCATCTCTCTGGTTGGATTCAATATCCCCTTGTTTATATAATCCATTTTCCCTTCGCAGGAAATGACCATTCCCGTACAAGATCTACCCTTGAAGTTGTTGCTGAACAAGTGGCGGATGGGGTCATCATCTTAGAAAACTCAAAGCTTGATCAAGATTTGCAAAGTCCTGACACTGATCTGAACCTTTTCCCGAAGAGTAAAGAATCATCAGAATATATCAGAATTCAATACGCTACTTCATTCTACTTTGGTAATGACAAAACTCCCTGCTTGATCTTTTGCAGCTGAGGCACCTGCATACCAGGTCGGAGATGTGGCACGAGCTGCCCGCCTTTCTGACGGTCAGCAAGTGTCCCGTTCCCATGGCGAACGCGATGCACACCGAGTTTTCGGGAGATTTGGCCTAACTTTGAGGATTCGTATTTCCAATGTGGATGTGCCTGGTGAACACGGGCAAGAGTCTGTGAAGATCCCATACCTCAAAGTCCAAGACTTTTTTGCATACTTGCTGAGAAAGCACCCCAAATTACTTTTTGGTGGAAATGAAGACGGGGGGGATATTTGCCAAGCTTTCTGGACAGAATACAAGCATGAACACCCTGAACATGTGATCTACCAGCGCTTTCCGAATCCAAAGGATTGGAGAAATGTTTTGCCTATTTGCTTGCATGGTGACAAAGGAAGAACCCTGAGGAAGTCTCCAATTTTGATTCTGAGTTGGGAGAGTGTGTTTGGCCTACCTGAAAAATGCCGTGGTTCCTCTGTAGATACAGCCCGTCGAGCTGCTCAAACAAAGGATTCAAAAGCTATGTGGGACTGTGAACGAAGGGTTACGGGCTACAAACGTCCTGTGGTTGACAGTTTGGAGTCATACGATGCTGACTTCAATCAATGCGTTAAAAAACGAAAGCTCGACTCTGTTGGAGGATGTGCTCACAGCGGGCTCCCGCATGACAAACTTGTCGGTGGCATGCTTCACAACCAGAAAGGGTCTACATTTTTGACCCGCTTCTTCTTCTGTGCTTTGCCATCCAAGCTGTACAAAAAAAACAAAGAGGCATTACCCCAAACTTTGAGAGAGATTGCTTCCAACATCAAGGAACTGTGGGACACTGGCCTGCAGATGTCAAATCGAACTTTCTACTGTGGTTTTGTCGGTGTCAAGGGCGACTATGAATTTGAGTTGGAAGCGGGGCAGTTTACAAGGGGCTACTCCCGGGTGGGCACTGTCAAAGAGTTGGCTATGTGCTGGGAATGTATGGCAGGACTTCCAGGTATTCCTTTCACAGACGTTTCTGATGACCCGTGTTGGCTAGAAACAGTTGGAACAGCTTCCCCATGGGAAGACAACACTGCGCCACCATTGAACTCCATTCCCTTTGGGGGAAATCCCGACCCTACAATGTACCGCCGAGATTCATTTCACACTTTGAAATTTGGATTTGCACGAGACCTTTCTGCTGGAATCATCATTCAGCTGTGTGATATGGGTTATTTTGACAGCCCTACTGATGATAGTTTTTCATTGGAGGCGCGTCTAGCAAGAGCCTATGGCCATTTTGATCTTTATTGCCTGGCTGAGTCAAAGCAAAAAAAATTGAAATCTTTCACCAGGGAGAATTTGAAGTTTCCAAAGAGCAACAGTTTGCCATTTCTCAGTGCCAAAGGCTCTGACGTTACCGCAGTACTGACTTGGCTTTCTTTTGCGCTGACGATATTTACTGAACAACCGCTCGAAAGAGAGCATCGGGGGCGCTTGAGAGCAATGCTGCAAACAACCCAAGGTTTCCTCGACTACATCGGTATCATGCACTCACACGGGCTGTTTTTACACAGGTGCTGTGCTGCAGTTCTTTACAGGTCAGGTCTCCGTTTACTGAGGGGCTACTGCTACTTGTCCGAGGATTCAACAAAAAACAAGCGCATAGCTGGGTACAATTTGCGGCCAAAGCTGCACTATTTTCATCACAGTTTATTTGAGCAGAAGAGAGCTCTTGAGGATCGTTCCCGAAAATTTATTCTAAACCCTGCCCTGTGGAATTGCGAGGCCAATGAAGACTACATTGGCAGATTGGCCAGAATTTCACGAAGAGTAGATTCAAGAACTTGTAGCCTCCGCACATTACAGAGATATTTGGTCAAAGCCCGCGCTGTGATCGCAAGGGCAGGTGTATAGTGATCACATCGCAGCTGCTCGCGTGAAAAAAAGATGATGCTAGACTGGTGACAGCCTGTGTGGCCAGGCAATCCCTTGTTTTGTTTCCACAGAACCAAATCCTCAAATCCATGGTGCCGAGACTTGGCAGAGAACGAGGCTGTGGATGCCACGATTTGATCAAAATCATTTATCGCAGTTTTTTGGTTTTATCGCATTTTTGCTGTCCCATCGCGTTTTTTCAAGCCAACAGGGTCCATCGCGTTTTTTTCCTGCACTTGGGTTTCGTAGGTAGGTACCCATTCATGAAGCTATGGTTTCTTGAGTGCATGAGCATTCCTTTCCAAGCCACCGCGTCACACCTCTTAATCAATCGCTGCTTGCCAGGTCAAGATTAGCCGAGTGGCTTTGGAGCTGCATCACTCAGTGACACTTGTGCACACAGATGCAACAGCTATGAAAGGCTTGTTCACACTCCTGTGCCGGCGGCATGATGGTTCTGCAAGAACTGTACCCAGGTCTGTTTAAAAAACAATGGGCAAGATTTAAATCTCCCATGTTTTCGGTGAGGCATTTTTGATTACGATGTGGTTTCCGACCTTTTTTTGTGTCATCTCAGGATCCTCGGTTGATTAAGCTCTATGCCTTGCTGACAAAGTACTGGGCCCCCAAGCCACGGTCAAAAAGGAATTTGGGAGAAGAGGTTCAGGGCGCTAGTGGCTCGCAAGAACAAAAAGAGGGAGAAGAAGGCAACAAGTTGGGAGAAGAGGGGGCAGAGGGGGGAGAGGGGGGGGAAGAGGAGATTCGAGAAGAAGATCCAGAAATCGCTGCAGAAGGAAGTGGCAGCCAAGATGGGGGTGGTGAGGTAGGTAGCGGACAACCCTGTTCCCCAGAAATTCCTGCTTCACCTGTGCACTACCCCTCACCCATGGAGAAAGCTTCCTCCCCAGCTCCCCTTCGCACCCCAAGCAAGAGAAAACCAGATGAGGATGAAGAAAGGCTCGACACTCTTTTGGCCTGGACGCTGGGGGGTGAACTTCCTCCCACAGTCCGCTTGGGTCATCCCTGGGAATCCCCATGGAGACATGATAAACCTGACCACCAATGCGATGACGAACTTGATGAAGTAGAATCACAACTCAAAAACCTGGAGTTTCTTGTTTGCAAAGAGTTGCAAAACAACTAGAGCGACACGCCTTTTCGAAAAAAAAACGCCCCCAACATCACCAAACTTATGCGAACATCAGGACTGCCATCAGTGAGCGGAAAATTGCGGTAGTTGGGCAGAACATGCCTGTCACCTGGCGTCCTCTACTTAGATCCCGCTTATCTTGTGTCACTTAAATCAAATTCCTCCTGGATGATTTTGATTTGTGAGGTGAATCCAGCACTGGCAAATCTGTGACCGAGATGGAAACGGTCCCTTTTGAGGCCACCCAGGTCGCTGCACTGATGACGTCCACCCCGAGCCCACAGAATCCAAGGGGCGTACCAGAACCCACAGAGCTTCCAGAAAACAACGAGGTCGAACCAAAGGAGTCCCATTTGACACCGCCAGCTGCCGAAGCTGCTCAGGAGCAAGCCTTGGAGGATGGATTGCCTGAGCCTAAATCCACGCAGCCTGCCAGTTGTGAGAGAGACATAGGATCCCCTGGAAGTTTGGCGGACATCCTTGCCCACAATGTGCCTTGGGAAGGGTTATATTTTCTTCCCATGTGTACAATTTACGTGGCGAATTTACGAAATGCATTATCACATTGGGAAGGTTTGCAAAGTGCAAGATTATGCAATGAAATTTCCCAGGTGTCCTATTATGCTACTTCGTTCATCTTGTCCTTGGTGTTTGGACCCTAACTTCACATCCCTGCAGGTGCCCACACACCGTGGTGAGCAGACCACTGCCAAAACCCAGGCCAGGATGAAACGGCCAGCTAGCGTGAGACCGCCAGCTGCGAAAAAACCTGCAGCAGCAAAGGTTCCGACTTCTGCTGGACGGGGCCGGGGGGAAGGAAAAGGTCGAGGCAAAGGGAGGGGCAGAAATGGCAGGAAAAGAAAAGCAGAGAATTCACCTGATGAGGGCGACACAGGCCTAGCAACACAACACTACTCACCAGAGGCCAGTGAACCGGAATCAGAAAAACACAATGCTGAGGTCACCCCAGCAGGAAAACCGAAGAGAAAAGCAAAGGCAAAACCAAAGGCATGTGGGGAGCCGAAGGCGTCAGCTAAGACCAAACCTAGTCCAAAGAAACGTTCAGCAAAAGCAAAGGCCAAAGGACCCAAGGGTCGTTCCTCTTCCGGTGCAGCACCATCAGGTGGAGGGAAAACAAAGGGAACTTTTGGTCGACGTTGGCAAGGATCCAAAGAGCCCATGAAAACTTTCTGGAGTTCCGTGCGGAAAGCCTTCGAGGATTTTGTTGAGCCCATGGTGAATGCCCCATCCAAATTGGAGGAATGGCATGGGCATGGGTGGGGCTTGGTACAGGTTAAACGTCCAGAACCTCGCAATTGCCGGTGAATAGGCTTCATCAACTGAATACACAGCATTTCGTAACATACATATCGTGTCTGTCTAATCCCACATCTGTATATGCAACTTGCCAGCTTCACCTGACAGCCAGGACCCTTTCTGGAAGTTTTGCTTGCCGAAGTTAGACCAGAACTGCGATCCGGCTGACCTTCCTCCACTTGCAGTTGACTGGGCTAAGACTTTCTTAGAAGACCCAGTGGTGAAAAGTGCCCTGGCCCAGAAAATGCGCAATCAGGGTTTGATTCCTCCCTACTTTTCTGGCACATCAATTGTAAAGGTTGGGGGGGCCCTTTTTGTCGTCCCCAGGCCAATTGCGGTCCTGAACTTGGGCAGCTACAGCTGCTTCGCGACAAGTGACCTGATCATTCGGTAGATTGCGGTATAGGTTGCTTTGGCACCACCGTCGGCTGAAGTGCTAGGAGGAAAACAATAAATTGGCGAATTCTGGGCTGACGATTTTCTGTTTCAATTACTGTGGATCATTTCAGCTTTCCCAGCTAGGTCAAAATGTCAAATTTCTTTGTTTCGGACAAGGTGCTCTACAGCCCACGCAGGTGCTAATGCCTAGAGTCCTGCTATCTTGCTTGAAGCAGAACCTCCACGATCGAGATGCTGGCATTGCTGGCATGTCTTAATGCAGAGGCCATGGTCACTTGGGGCGGAGGTCGCGTACTGACATGCCAAAAAAACAAAGGGTTCTATTAAAAAAGCCGAGAAGAGTCTTCAATGGATTTGCTGTGATCTTTAGGAACTTTGGCCCGAACCAGATTGATTCCCTGCTGCCACGGATTGCAGCCATGAACAGAGTGCAAATCGATATGACACTGCGGCGGCTCATATATTTCGGTGCGCCTAAAGTATCTTGACAATATTATATAGATATATATATATAGTATACATGACCTCCTCTCCTTCCACACCATCACTTTCAGTAGCAAGCCTCGATCTCTGAGGCGTTTGTCCAGCTCTGTCTTTGCATCTCTTTCTTGTCTTTGATGGAGGGCGGCAAGGATTTGCAATTCCTCGAGCTGTTTGCAGGAACCGGCAGGGTGACCAGATTGGCAAAATCATTGGGTTATTCATCGGAGGCCCATGATGTAATTTATGACAAGCGCCTTGAAGAGGGTTACGATCGAAATTGTATGGACATTGCTGGTGAAGCTGGGTATGCGTTTCTTGCCCAGGAACTTTCACAATATTTTTCCCCAACAGCAGAATGCTTTGGGGTCTTCAGCCATAGTAAAGGTTTCGGAGCAGACCGGAGCAGCTCCAAAACCCATTCCCCCAAGGTTCCCAGGTTCCAAGTAAAGGTTCCCAAGTAAAGGTTCCCAGGTTCCCGAGTAAAGGTTCCCAAGTAAAGGTTCCCAGGTTCCCAAGTAAAGGTTCCCAAGCTTCCTCAAGGTTCCCTCAAGGTTCCCAAAAGGTTCTCAAAAGGTTCCCTCAAGGTTCCTTCAAGGTTCCCTGCAAGGATCCCAAGTTTTCCAAGTAAAGGTTGTCAAGGTTCCCAAGATTATTATGTAAAGGTTCCCAAGGTGACATTGTAAAGGTTTCTAAAAGATTCCCAAGGTTAGATTGTCAAGGTTCCCTCAAGGTTCCCAAAAGGTACCCTCAAGGTTCCTTCAAGGTTTCTTCAAGGTTCCCTGAAGGTTCCCAAGTTTTCCAAGGTTCCCAAGGTTGTATTGTAAAGGTTCCTTCAAGGTTCCCAAGGTTACATTGTAAAAGGTTCCTTCAAGGTTCCCAAGGTTACATTGTAAAAGGTTCTCAAGGGTTCCAAGGTTCTATTGTCAAGGTTTCCTCAAGCTTTCCAAGGTTGCATTGTAAAGGTTCCCTCAAGGTTCCCAAGGTTACATTGTAAAGGTTCTCAAGGGTTCCAAGGTTATATTGTCAAGGTTTCCTCAAGCTTTCCGAGGTTGCATTGTAAAGGTTCCCTCAAGATTCCCAAGTTTCCCAAGTAAAGTTTGTCAAGGTTCCCAAGGTTGTATTGTAAAGGTTCCCTCAAGGTAAATATTCTCAAGGTCCCAAAGGTTATTATGTAAAGGTTCCCAAGTAGTAATATTCGTCGTAATATGTAAATTTCTTGAAGATATTTGGATGCGGCTACACGCGCGGAACCCGCGCAGAACAACACGCGCGGAACCCGCGCAAAACGCAGATGCGCATAACGCGCATAACACGCGGAAACCGCGCGAAACGTAGACGCGTGGAACCCGCGCGTACTATTAATACTTCTAGTAGTAGTAGTAGTAGTAGTAGCAGTAGTAGTAGTAGTAACAATAATAATAACAAAATATCGTAGATGTAGTAGAAATGATACTAACCGTAATATTGATTAAATTACAATTTGTAGAACTATTACTAATATTCGTCGTAATATTTTAACTTCTTAAAGAAATTTGAATGCGACACCGCGCGTGGAACCCGAGCAGAACAACACGCGCGGATCCCGCGCGAAACGCAAACGCGCATAACGCGCGAAACCCGTGCGAAACGCAGACGCGCGGAACCCGCGCGTACTTTTACTACTTCTCGTACCTATAATAATAGTAGTAGATGTATAGTAGAGATTATACTGATCGTAGTACTGATTAAATTGCAATTAGTAGAAGTAGTAGTGATATTCATCATAATATATGAATTTCTTCAAGAAATTTGAATGCGGCTACACGCGCGGAATCCGCGCAAAACAACACGTGCAGATACCGCGCAAAACGCAGACGCGCGTAACGCGCGGAAACCGCGCAAAACGCAGACGCGCGAAACGCGCGCATACTATTAATACTTCGCGCGCATACATTTAATAACTTATAGTAAATAGTATAGTAGTAGTAGTAGTAGTCGTTAGTAGTAGTTAGTAGTAGTAGTAGTAGTAGTAGTAGCAGTATAGTAGTTAGTACGTACTATTACTACTGCTAGTAGTAGTAATAGTAGTAGTATTAGGTGTTGTTGTTGTAGTAGTGGTAGTGGTAGAGTGGTAGTAGTGTAGTATGTGGTTAGTAGTGTGGTAGTGGTAGTAGGAGTAGAATCAGTAAGCAGTAAGCAGTAGTACAGCAGTAGTAAAGTAGTAAAGCCGCAGTCAGCAGACAGTAAGCACAGCAGTTAAGCAGTTAGAAGTAGTAGTAAGTAAGTAGTAGTAAGTAAGTAGTAGTAAGTAAGTAGTAGTAAGTAGTAGTAAGTAGTAGTAAGTAGTAGTAAGTAGTAGTAAGTAGTAGTAAGTAGTAGTAAGTAGTAGTAAGTAGTAGTAAGTAGTAGTAAGTAGTAGTAAGTAGTAGTAACTAGTAGTAACTAGTAGTAACTAGTAGTAACTAGTAGTAACTAGTAGTAACTAGTAGTAACTAGTAGTAACTAGTAGTAACTAGTAGTAACTAGTAGTAACTAGTAGTAACTAGTAGTAAGTAGTAGTAAGTAGTAGTAAGTAGTAGTAAGTAGTAGTAAGTAGTAGTAAGTAGTAGTAAGTAGTAGTAAGTAGTAGTAAGTAGTAGTAAGTAGTAGTAAGTAGTAGTAAGTAGTAGTAAGTAGTAGTAAGTAGTAGTAAGTAGAAGTAAGTAGTAGTAAGTAGTAGTAAGTAGTAGTAAGTAGTAGTAAGTAGTAGTAAGTAGTAGTAAGTAGTAGTAAGTAGTAGTAAGTAGTAGTAAGTAGTAGTAAGTAGTAGTAAGTAGTAGTAAGTAGTAGTAAGTAGTAGTAAGTAGTAGTAAGAAGTAGCAAGTAGTAGTAAGAAGTAGTAAGTAGTAGTAAGTAGCAGTAAGTAGTAGTAAGGAGTAGTAAGGCGTAGTAAGGCGTAGAAAGGAGTAGTAAGGAGTAGTAAGGAGTAGAAAGGAGTAGTAAGGAGTAGTACGCAGTAGTATGCAGTATAGTACGCAGTATAGAACGCAGTATAGTACGCAGTAAAGTACGCAGTACAGTACGCAGTAGTACGCAGTAGCACGCAGTAGCACGCAGTAAAGTACGCAGTAAAGTACGCAGTAGTACGCAGTAGTACGCAGTAGTACGCAGTAGTAGTACGCAGTAGTAGTACGCAGTAGTAGTACGCAGTAGTAGTACGCAGTATAGTACGCAGTAGTACGCAGTAGTACGCAGTAGTACGCAGTAGCACGCAGTAGTAAGCAGTAGTACGCAGTAGTACGCAGTAGTACGCAGTAGTACGCAGTAGTACGCAGTAGTAGGCAGTAGTACGCAGTAGTACGCAGTAGTAGGCAGTAGTAGGCAGTAGTACGCAGTAGTACTACGCAGTACTACGCAGCAGTACTAACTACACAGTAGTACTACGCAGTAGCACGCAGTAGCACGCAGTAGCACGCAGTAGCAGGCAGTAGCACGCAGTAGTACGCAGTAGTACGCAGTAGTACGCAGTAGTACTACGCAGTAGTACACAGTAGTACGCAGTAGTACGGAGTATTAGTACCTATAGTACGCAGTAGTAGTACGCAGTAGTAGTACGCAGTAGTAGTACGCAGTAGTAGTACGCAGTAGTACGCAGTAGTAGTACGCAGTAGTAGTACGCAGTAGTAGTACGCAGTAGTACGCAGTACTACGCAGCAGTACTACGCAGTAGTACTACGCAGCAGTACTACGCAGTAGTAGTACGCAGTAGTAGTACGCAGTA